TGGGAGCATCGCCTGCTAGGCTATTCCGTTGTTGGCACACAGCGCTGTAATTCTAGGTAACTCTCATCTCATGGAGCTGCACTACAATTTTCGCCCAGCAGAGTCCCTCTTAACCGCAAAACATTTATTTATAAGAACTAGGAGGGTTGTTAGTTTCATTGTTTGCACGCAAGCCGTTTGGCTGTCTTTCCAAAAAGCAGCCAAAACATTTCAGTGCCGACAACGGGCTAGAAGCGGGGAAAGCGGCACTTTTGTCGTTTTTCCCATGGAGTCCCATATATTAACTAGTGTCAAGTGATGGCTGCCGGTGGTGCCACTGGACCCCAGCAAGACAGGCCTCGATCCCCGGTCCAGCCTCCTACAATAGAGAACAGTGGTGTGAACGCGACGCCGAGGCCCAACGACTTCGACGTAACTTGTCGCAGCTATCACTGGGACTGTACTGTGGATTAACCTAGGAGTGGTCCATTTTTTAAATGCTTTTATGTCTTGATTTTTGCAGGTCTCGTTGATTGATGTCGTTTTTCTTTTCTTTTAGTCACCCGCCGGGCAAGTCCTCGTCTCATCGGTCCCGTGGTAATTGGGTTGAGTGAAGACGCCCCATTGTTTCGGTTTAGAAGTGTCCGGCCCGTACTCTTTACAGCGCTCAGTCAGTAGAGGAATGTAGAATCTGCGATTAAAGGATACAGCCACTGACATCGTAAACAGGGAGGAGCTTCAGTTGCCCCAACTCCAGAGCAAGCTTCACACATTTGACACCACTTCGATGTCACGTGCACGTCTAGCGCGAGCGCGCACCCAAAGCCCGGCAACACTGTAGCCCGGCGGAAGGCGTCGAGCGTTTTCTGGAGGCCGGGCATTCAAAATAAGCGCTTGCCGTTCCCACATTGTCATATATTATAGTTGTATAATTTCCGCGCGACGTTTAGATACTACTTGGTGCCTGAAACTTCTCCCCAACGCGGCAGTTAAGGCACGCCAAAAGAGCCTCCTGGGAATGCAACGGTTTATCCGAGATTCTGGCTGTTGTTACAAGAGACACCGGTGACAAGGACTAGCCAGCGCAGACATTGGTGCCATCACGACGTTCTAGCCACTTGTCTTTGATGCGAATACCTACAGACTCGTCCTCTAATCACTATTGTTTATGAAACGCAGAGTGCTGCCCAGCGCCTTCATGCTTCTTGTTTTGTATTTCGATCTTCAGCGTTAATAAACTAGAGTGCTATAATAATAAACTCGTAAGTCGTGAGAGGGGGCGTTTCTTAAGTTGTCACTGGATGCTGGTTAACCCTAAACAGCATAGGCATATGACATTATTCCGCTGCGCCTGTCTACCACCAGGAGAGCGTCGATCCGCAGCGCGTCAAAGTTAGCGCATCATCAAGGAGGAACTGGGGTATAAATAAATAAGCGGTATACCAACCAGACCAAGGCCCCTTGCAGGCACCATGGCAGTAGAAGGGTATGATTACAGCCTCAATAGTTTGATATGTGAATTGCTGGTGTATCGGGAAGTATAGGGATATGATGTCGAATAGAGTTTTCTCGCATATTCAATACGTGTAAATTTCCGCGGTCCATCTGAGCTGGTGAATTAGATACTTATGTATCCTAATCGACCACAGTGCATTGCGGGATATTAGGTTGAACTGTTATTCAGCTTATTAACGTCTGAGGTGTTTAATTGATTGCAAGAATTTTGTAAACCTTGTCATCTTGAATATGTGACTTTTTTTCTGCAGTTAGTTGGATACTTCGCGGGATTCGCGCCGTCGACCGCGTTTTATATGGACCTCGGACATTTTCGACGCTCCGCCAAAATATTCCCCATTGACGTTAGGCCACTGACGTCATACCGCTCGACACAACTGTCATGTCACGCCGCATATCACGTCACTTGTTACCTGGCGTCAGCTGATACCGTGAGGTGATATTGTAATGCCAATGCCACGTTGCACAGTAACGCCACGGGACTTCATGACGTCAGGTGACACTTTGAGTCACGTGATATCATGACGTCACGTGACACTGTGACGCTGTGACAACACGTCGCCAGCTGACACATGATGGCGCGTAGATACATTAACATTAAACTGCTCTTAATGGAAACATTAAAAACAAAACACTAAACAAATTGTTTAACAAATTCACAAGATGCATCCCTACTTATTAAACCCTGATTGGTTCGAAACCGCAATGGAATTTTCGTCCAGTGGGTTATTTGGTTTAATACAAAACGCAAAACTCTATGGTGCGCACTCGAAACGTTACTGTTCATTCAGTCCATCTGCTAAGATCTTTAGTAGTTCCGACATCACACATCAGCTCGCGTAGTGTTTCATCTTTCGGGTGGCGTAAATGCCCCGACTTTTTATTTTTCGAAACAAGTAAAAGTCCCTGGCTTGGTCAATATCTCATGGGTGCTGTTTAATATGATTATGGGCTTCATCGGCATGTAAAGTATGATGAGCACATAAATTGGTGTAGGCACGTGAAGTACTAAAAATAGTTAAGAAAAACTGGCAGGGATTTGTTTTGTCTGTGCTGACGGAATAATCGATTTTGTTCTGTTTAGTGTCACTTTACATATTAACGAAGGCTTAAAGGGCCTATCCAGTCTTAAAATAGCGATCTTAGATCTTAACACCTCTCGCAATATTAAGTACCTTCAATTACGCCGGACATTTTATTACACCAAAGCAACCAATACTTCATCAGGAACTGTAATTGAGAAGCTAAGATTTTGGTACAAACATTTTCGGTTTGTTACTCGACGAAAACTGTCACGTAAAAAGGTACTACAGCCACTAATTGTGACGTCACGCCTTTTCGGTTCTACTTACCGACAACGAGCCTCTTTCCCGAGGCACCCAAGATACATGTCGGACAAATTGGAAAATGTCTCAACGATCGGCCACTAGAGCTTCATAAGGGGGATCGGTGGCCGAGTGGTCTAGCGCACACCAGCTCGGAGCACGTGGAGCGAAAGCTCGCGCTGCAGAACCCAGGGATCCTGGGTTCGAGCCCCACCCCTGCCCGTTTCGATCTGGATGAGCATCGTACCGGCGTGCGGTCGTGTATCACTACTGCGTGGTGCACGTTAAAGACCCCAGGCTAGCGGTTGTACTGCACTGGCTAAATTGCTCATCTACAGCTGGGAGACTCGTCGCCCCTCTGAGGCAGACAGAGTTCTAGGCTGTATAAACACACACACAGCCCAATTATTATTAGAGCTTCATAACGCACCAATCGGACTGTTTCTGGACATCTAAGGATTCATTGCCGAAACTGTGGTTGTGATCCCCATTCAACGAGAGGGACTGAATTGGCGCAGAGCGGTGACACTCAGAAATTATTGAGGCAGAGATTATAGAGTTATTATAATGTACGCTGGGGGTTCAACTGACGCTGGTGTGCTCACATCAAACGCCATAAGGGATTAACTCATTCAGATTCATAAAGAACAAAACTTGCGACCAATCTTTAATATACACATTTTTGTAACAGCCATTTATAATACAAGTTTAATGCCACTATTTAGTGTGAGATCGCACAAACAGCCCCTATATTATCAATCTTAACCACCCGCGTTGCTGAAGCGGTATTCGCACGGGTGGTGCTTTTCGGGGAGGGATGCGCGTGACGTAAGTGATCAGCAGAAGCAGCATTCACACGAACGGTGGCGATCCGAGACGGATGTCAGTGCTATTATACGGCTTAGCGCTCGCATTGTGTACAAGAAGGCTCGGTACGCGCTGACTAGAGTAAAAGAACCGAGGCGTGCATAGAACGGCCATTCGTGTTATGGCAACAGCACTGTTATTTACCAAAGGCGACGAGCTGCATCCTGATAAAAACATATGCCTTTTAAATTGGTGGATGCAACACAAAAAGCATGGAATCCAAAATCAGTTGTGTGAGGAGCGGCTTAAGGACCGCATTGATGGATATCGAAGAATCCTTCGGGTACCTCGGCCGACATGCAACAGCGCAAGCCGCAACAAGTTAGGCGATCCCGAAGCCACCACCGGTGTTCCGCTGAGCAAAATCTGTGAAGTTGCCAGACACGCGAAGAAAACAAAGCCACTTGCTAAGAAACGCCACGCCAAGGCGGGCGTGGACTGTTTCTGCAACCCGAGCAGGAGCTCCCCATCCCCCTTTGAATATCTACGTCAACGAAGCTCCTCGCAAAGGCGTTGCGTTGATACCACGTGGTGCGCAATCCGGGGATCAAAAGGAGGGATTTATACAGCGCGTGAATACTCCTGACGGTGGACGCAGAGATTGTGGAGACATGAGTGGGCGAAGTAAGTCACAATAGGTGATTTGAAAGTGGTTACTCTTCTTGTGTGCTTTTTAGAGCGCAGCTCTTAGGGGCCCGTTTCCAGCCTGAGCGGCGTCGGCGTCGCCGTTGGCGTCGCCGTCGGCGTCGGCGTAACCGCGCCCCTCCCTCTCCTCCTCCTCCCCCTCCTCCTCCCCCTCCTCCTCCTCCTCCCCTCCTTCTCCTCCTCCTCCCCTCATTGTGTAGTATGGTCCGGGCGGGTCACGTGACCTCGGAGGGAGGGGGTCACATGACCCGTTTCCAGCCTGTGCGGCGTCGGCGTCGGCGTTGGCGTCGGCGTCGCCCCTCCCCCTCCTCCCCCTCCGCTCCTCCTCCTCCCCCCTCCTCTCCCGCCCGGTAAAGGTGGTAAAGGAGAGGGAGGGGGAGCAGGAGGGGACGAGGACTAGCAGGCATGATCACGAGGGAGGAGGAGGAATATACCCTCCACTCCTCCTCCTCAAGAGCTGCGCTCCAATTCGGCGTTACTGGAAGTTGTAAAAGGCTTTCACTTTTTTTGTGCTTGAACAGTTTGCTAATTATTTTCAACAACATCTGGTGTTCTTATAGCATGAATAATTTTACCCGTTTAATTGCGCACTGTTCTTCAGTTAGGCGCTCATTGAAGCGGTTCAACAATGAAGTTCTTAGTACGTTTTTAATATTTAGATGCAAGTAGCTATTTCTCGGTAAACGGAGTTTTCTTCAACCTGTGGGTTACCTTGATGGAGCTCACAATAATAGGTTAATCTGAGAGTTTATGTAGACATCACGGGGCATTCTGCATAAGCGCGAAAGGAAATCCCGCGTGATACATACCGGTTTTGCTTGGTGCAGTGTTGTGGGTAGTTGTAGGCGAAACATTTCAGTTTTAGGACGTCGAAATAGATCACGCCGACTGCATTCGAAACGGAGCTGTTGACATTCCGCAAGCAGTTGTAGAGATTGCAGTCGTCCTTACAGTGTGTCCTGAAACGCGAGTGGGGCGTAAAGATTACTTTTGCACTTTTTAGTGAAATAGCTGCAAACTGCTTCGACTGAAACACTGGACCACCTCCCAGCGCATGCTAAAAATCAGCTTGAACGTATTGTTTGAACTGCAGTTTTGATGGATTGCAACGTCCATTGTGGAAACCTTGCTGGAAATTATGCAGCCTCCACAGGCGGTCACTCTAAAGGCCATAAACAAGTAGACATCTCGTCTCTTGATCTCAAAAGCAATGTAGAAGAATTTATATCAAATATTGAGGGCCTGTATAAAACTTTGATTTTATTTCAAAATAGCAGGAAATATTGTTTTTTTTAGGAATTTTTTTATATAGGTATCTTTTATTTCTTTTTTCAATTTTTGCGTGTAGAAATTTGGCATCCAACATCACATGCTTACATGGTATACGGCTTGGAGTTTGTAAGCCCATGTTTCGTCTGTAAAGCTCCAATGCTATCGGAAGAGTGATCGTGATCTCGGCAGCACATGTCCGCTTCCCTGTCCATTCCGAGGTCATCGTAATTCTTGGCTAAGGTACCGTCACCACACCACTTGGTCCCTAGAATCAACACGTGTCATCTCATGAACATGAAGTGAATGGTCGCCGTACGGCATGCCCCAAGCATTTTCGTAAGCTTCTTTATTTTTTTAAATAAAGGATGATGGCCAAAGTTGTCCACACGTTTCTTAGTTATCGGTATAGAAAGTGAGGAAGAGGAGAAGACAAGAGTGAGTGGGGAGCCTAGAAGTAAAATGTTAAGAAACATGCAACAATAGTAAGGAAATCTAAGCAACTAAGGGAGTGCATTGACGCCTTCCTATTACTGAGATGGCATGGCCATTACAGCATGCTACCAATCACCCTTTAGATTTCTTGAACTAAGCGAACTAACGAAAGTAATACAAACGATTGCTATTCAGAGTACATCGCGGAAAAGAGCAGCTGAGTGTTTATTAGACCTGCGAGGGACAGATTCTGTAAGCAAGAAATTTAATGGCATTTTTTCAAAATTTATTTAATCTGTTCGACTACAATCCCACTGCACAGTAAAAAAGACATTCATTACAATGTATCAAGAAAACTCTTGGAATGATGGGAACGAAAATACGTTTGGGCCTAAAGATAATGTCAGCCTTGCTGCCTGGAGAATGACTTTCTTCATGCTGGCATGATGCGGGGTATCACAGAACTTCATTCTTAAGTGTAAATGTGCTCCCGGCCTGTCGTTCGCCGAGTTCTCTTGGCACATCCCAGTGACTGGTGCTCCAAGTGGTGTGCCAGAAATTAGACGCACGAGCATGTTTTAAAGCTTAAACCAAAATGATCAGTCGTCTCAGTTTTCCTCTTAACCTGCGGGAAATTATACGCGAGCTTCCAGGGTTTCGTAAATGTGCACCACTCTCGTAAACTTCTACGAGCTGTGGGAGACACAAGTTCCCCTCGTCCCTATCTAGGCCTAACTCAGGCAGGCAACGGGTGCCGCGTGTCGGATCGCGCCGCCCGGATGCTAAAGGCGGCTGTATGCGCCTGTGGACGGCTCTCCCTTGCCCTTCTCGGGTGACCTGCCGCTGGCACCCCCATTGGGACCTTCATACTTGGACGCGTCCGCCCCTCCTGGGCGACGAACCTTCTTTCGACAACCCCCCCGGGAGCGTCCATCCCCGCAGGCTATATAAGCCGGCCGAAAACAACGGCCCGGGCTCTCGTCGGGAGGGGCCCTTGTTCCGTGGAGCTCTATTAGTTATTCTTCCCCTTTCCATAAATCTGGATATTGTGGAAGCGCGGAGTCTGACCGGTGATCCTGTCACTTTTGAGCATCCATTCTAAGATGATCCTGTCACTTTTGGAGGAAAAGCGTGTTGACATATCAAGCCAATAAACACGGCGTTCACGATCTCAGAGAGTTACTGTGTTTCTACGTGGCACCCCCAACAAAGAGAAAATCCGTAAAGTGTACTTCCTCGCGACGCACTTGTGACATCGATTGCTAGTCCTCATTTTATCAGCTTACCGAATGAGAAACACGATCGATATCGATGCGAAACTCTTAAGCAGTCTCAGTGGCAAAGAGTCCTTTAGCTTTTTTTTCCACTTAAAGAACATCGTCTTTATAATTGGTTAGGCTTATTGAGAAAATCTTAATGATACGCGCTCCAAGTGCATCGCGGGGCAGCATCGATGGAGGAGCTTTTGAGAGGGGTTACATTCAAGACACAACCGCAGTTATTATGATGACGGTACCGCTCGTTCTGCTTTTGACAATTTCTGTCGCGATTTAAGATGCATGCGCGTTACGGCACGGGAATTTATATTGGTTATTTTTAGGTGCATACCTGGATATATGACGAACCTTTGTAAAATGTGACCGACAATATTAAAAATTGACTTGGGAGCTTCTTCTGTGGCGTTTATTTCACGATTGTGGCACAAGTCCACAAACTGGTCCATTTCGTCCTCGGTCACGGTCGTGATAGCGTTGTCCGGAACCTCGTTTAACATGGTGTCGATTAATTCCCTAAAGAAGCGGACACGTAAAAGCATATTAGATCAAAGTATGCTGAGCACAAGCTTTTTTATTTTTGTTTATATCTGAAATTTTATTTAGCAAGTGTTCTACTATACATTGTTTTTTTTTTATTTGTGTCTTCGTGCAAGACTGAAAGTTCTGTGATTTCGCAAAGTGTATGTATGTTGAACTGAACTTTGTGCGCTGCAAAGAACTCCTTTTATCTGGGTGAAAAACTGCGCCAAGCGACAGTCATAATTCCTCCCACCATCTTCCATCCCCTTCTTTAACCCAGAATAATTAACCGTTTCAGGATGCCTTGGCAAAGCTCTCCTTTCTCTCAACCAGATTCTATCTCCTCCTTCTCGCTTAACATAATGTCGCTCGCGCAGGCGGCCAAGTAGTCAGCGTGCCCGTGGCCTTATGGCTATGTTGCCTCCCTCCCACACGAAACGCCGAGGTTCGATTCCTGGCCGCAGATACACTTTTTTTATCGTTTCTGTAATGCCACATCATGGTAAATTTAATAACCCTGTTGCTTACTCTAGATTAGAATGTTCTACGTGCCGAACCTTCTACGCCGATTGTTCTAGAAACCCACGCGTCTAGATAAAGTGCAAAAATACTCCAGAAGCCGGGCGAAGACATGATAAGTGTAATAACGAAAACGGCTTGACATAACAAAAATAACAATTTAATTAAACGTTTCGCCTCCCATGCGGGAGGCATCTTCAGTAGAGCACAGAGCGAGTGAGAGTCGCACACAAAAGTTCGGCTATTTAGGCATAAAGTTTGCGTACACCTCCGGCAGGGGGCCACGGTTCTTGTTTACCAGCGATGAATCACTTCCGCGTTTGTCCTTCTGGATAAACCAAGATTCCAGCAGCTTCCTCGGTCCCCACCTTTGATCCCTCGCCAAGGTCGATGCCTTGTCAAAGTCAAATTGATGTCCTGACGTCCATGTGTGGTCGACGAGTTCGGACTTGAAGCGGGTGGCGTTCGTGGAATTGGCGGCATCCCGTGCGTGTTCTTTTAGTCTTGTTTTTCTTTTTCGTCCCGTTTCTCCAATGTAGGAAGCGTCACATTCCTTGCACTGCACCTGGTAGATCACGCCCCTTTCTGCCTCTGGCGGGGTCGTTGTCCACTCGTACAACCCTCCTTGTTGATGACGTTATACTTCTTTTGCGTTTTTGTCTCAACCAGTGCAATTTTAGTTTTAATGGGGACATATATCATCAGGTCAGCGGATGCCCTATGGGGAGTCCAGTTTCAGTAACCGTCTCGAATCTCGTCATGGAATATGTTGAGGAAAAGGTAATGTCTGGCATTGATTCCCCCGTGAAGTTCTACCGTCGTTATGTCGATGACACGTTTGTAATAGTTAACAGAGAGAACGTAACCGATTTTCACCGCAATTTGAATAGTGTCCACCCCTCAATTCAGTTCACCTGCGAACATGAAACCGACAGTACCTTACCGTTTTTAGATGTACGTGTCCATAGAACTAGTGAACCTTTCTTTAAGATGGAGACATCCGTATATCGTAAACCATGTGACACACAAAACTTTCTTGACTACCACTCTCATCACCCTACTCAACACAAAAGCTCAGTTGTAAGATCGTTACTTCATCGTTCAGAAACAGTCCCATCTAACTCAACACTTAGCAATCAAGAACTTAGCCATGTGCGGGAGGCTTTGAAGAAACGTAACTACCCCGACCGATTTATCAATCGCGTTAAGAAACAAATGTCCCGTCGGCGCCCGGATCGAGCCGAACGAACACGTGACGTCGTGTGCATCCCGTACGTTAAGGGGATTTCGGAGGCATTGGGACGCGCCCTTAGGCCGTTAGGGGTACGAACTGTATACAAACCCTACAGAACAATTGCCAATGTTATCTCCAAGCCAAAAGACCCGACCCCGCCAGAGGCAGAAAGGGGCGTGATCTACCAGGTGCAGTGCAAGGAATGTGACGCTTCCTACATTGGAGAAACGGGACGAAAAAGAAAAACAAGACTAAAAGAACACGCACGGGATGCCGCCAATTCCACGAACGCCACCCGCTTCAAGTCCGAACTCGTCGACCACACATGGACGTCAGGACATCAATTTGACTTTGACAAGGCATCGACCTTGGCGAGGGATCAAAGGTGGGGACCGAGGAAGCTGCTGGAATCCTGGTTTATCCAGAAGGACAAACGCGGAAGTGATTCATCGCTGGTAAACAAGAACCGTGGCCCCCTGCCGGAGGTGTACGCAAACTTTATGCCTAAATAGCCGAACTTTTGTGTGCGACTCTCACTCGCTCTGTGCTCTACTGAAGATGCCTCCCGCATGGGAGGCGAAACGTTTAATTAAATTGTTATTTTTGTTATGTCAAGCCGTTTTCGTTATTACACTTATCATGTCTAGATAAAGAACACCGGAACACCGCGTGGCGAGCCGAAGTCAGTCTCGCTCCAGCTACTAACAGCTCGATCCTGCTGTCTTGCCGACATCAACGCCTGTGACTGTAACCTTCTTCTATTTTTTTTTTTGTTTGGGGGGGGGGGGGGAGCAAATGTTCGCCCAATTAAACGTTTAGTTTTTCTAGTGTTTTGCCGCCTCATCACTTGTCATTCCTGACATTTTGGTGGAGGTGCGGGTTACCGCACCTCCATGCCAGTGAAACGTACCCCTCAGAAGATAAGTCGGGGTCGATCTTTTTCAAGTCCCGGAAAACTGATCACCGCCGACGAGCCCAAAACCCGTGCCTGCCGCCGCACCCAAGGACAGACATCTGAGATTGGACTTTTACCGGAGAACTTTAAGACCAAGGCGACGACGATGTCCCATTCCTAGCAGAACCCCGCCGCTCCTTCGGTCATCTACCTGCCCTTCGCTCCTTGGACACCGGCATCCCTCCACTTCGAAAGCTACGAAGACATCGACGACTGGGTGCAAGGGTACGAACGAATGGCCCGCCGTAATGGGTGGACACCGGAGCAGTGTCTTTAAAATGTTTACTGCACCTTGGAAGTAACCGCACGGAACTGGTTCGAGAACCACGAAGCATCGATCACCTCCTGGGATCAACTGAAGGCTGAGATACGAAGGATATTCACACACCAACACCGAAGAGAACGCACGGAAGGCCTTCTTCAAGCGAGGGTTCAAGGCCCTAACGACAGCGTCGTCAGCTTTGTTGAAGATGTTCTTCGCCTCAGCAGTTCCGCGGATCCTGACGCGCCTAAATAAATAAAAAAAAAAAAAAGCTGACGGTGTAATGCGAGGGGTGAAGGAAACCATCTTCGGAGACCTTGTGCGGAACCCGCCAACGGCCATCGAGGGTTTTATCACAGAAGTCACGAACATCGAGCTTGCTCTTCTCGCCAGAGCCATCCACTAGCGTCAGTGCAGTTCCGCAGTCCTCTTGCAACCTTGCCCACGCCCTTCCGGGCATTCGTGAGCTTAATCGTGTCATCGTCCGGGAGGAGCTTAAGAAGCTTCTGCCGACTGCTGAGCGCCCGTCCTCATTCTCCATTGCCGAGGTTGTTGGAGACGAGGTACAGCAAGCGTTCTTGCCGGACGCCGCTGTCACCGTGGCCGCACCCGAAAAACTGACGCTGACCTACGCCGCAATGGATCGAATGTGCCGCCCGCTACTCAAGATTACCCGGTGGCGCCACGACTGAACTCACCAACGCAGGCGTACCCCCAACGCCACGGCGAACGACATCAGTACAACCGTCGAGACCAACAGGTGTCAAGGATAACCGACGTGTGAAGGAGTGCGGGTCAGCGACCCATCTGCTATCACTGCGGTGATGCCGGTCACATTTTCCGTCGATGCCCCTACCGACAACTGGAGATGCGTGGGCTCCGTCCGAACGACCTACGCCCGAAACACGGCGAACGCCCTCGCGACATCGAGGAGTACCTCCGACGCTAGCCCTCCTCAGCGCCGTCTCTCCGCAGTGAATCCCGCTCACCATCGTTACGACGTTCAGCGTCTGCAGCGCCCTGACCCCTTCGAGAGAGCCTGTCTCCCCTGCGTCGCCGGAAAAGCTAGGCGCCGCAACGCCTGAAGGAGGCGTTGACGAAGCCGACCGAAGCAAAGAGCCTCCAAGAACGCCGGAGCGCTCACATTCTCCCGACGCCACGCAACGTAACGACGCCCATTCAACGGTGCCCAACAACCTAAACGTTGTTACCGACGGCAATGACGCCTCGGCACTCGCGGACTCCGGAGCAAACTACTCAGTTTTGAGTGGTAGGCTCTCTCGCCACCTGAGAAAAGTGACAACGCCGTAAGATGGACCTCAAATATGAACCGCCGGAGGGAACCTCATTTCACCAGTCGGGAAATGCACTGCTCACGTCGAGACCCACGTGTCCGGTAAAATTCGTTGTTTACAAGACTGTGCCAAAGACGTCATACTCACATCGACTTTCTGTGTGAATACGGCACCGTCATCGACCTTGGAGAGAACAGATTGTGACGCCAAGGTTCGGTACGATCACAATGAACCATTTTCGGAAATCGCAGGCTCAGGGGGTTTCAGTATGAAAATGTGCGAACCCGCTTTTATGCAAGCACAAAGACTCCGTCGGCCAATGAAGCTATATAGTGCTGGCTTTATTGAGCTGCAGTGACATAGAATGGGCTTCCGCAACGCTCCTTGTGTGCCTATTGTGGCTTAAGGTTTGATATATAGTTCGTTCAAAAGTGTTTCCTTCATATCCTTCCACGTGCGCGCATTGTTTCGTCATCAAAAAACCTCAATACCGTTTTTCCTCCTGGTGGTGTCATCCATAAACTAGTGGATTCTAAAATATTGCTAATCTGGAACTCCTTAAAGGGAAGCTGAAGCGGTTTTAAATATGAGAAAAAACACCTGAACCTAGTTAACGAGACCTCACCCATCACGAATATCGTATTCGTTTGGTCATTTTCTGCGCGGATTAACCGGAAAAGCGCCTTCAAAGGAGCGCCGAAGCCACGCCTCTCCGAAGCAGAGGGAAAG